GGTTCTTTTTAAAGTGAATGAGGCAGGCAGGTTAACAAACACTCACAGGGCTGCGGTGCTTTGAGGAGAACACAGGAAGAAGATGTATTTACAGTTCAGGGGGTGTCGGGGGAGTGAGGGTCTGCAAGAGGTGATCCGAGGAGTTAAAGGGCAAGTCCAAGATGTGGAAAAATAAAAATAAAAAGACACTTGTCGGAGGTTGCAGTTGGTTGTGCAGCTAAACGAGACAAAGCAGGCCCCTCAGCTTGCATTTGATGTGGGAACATCCGTCCGAACAGATGCAACCTGTGTTTGCATAAAGACAAACTGAACCTTTATGGCAGAGAGCTGAAACATTTAATATAAGCAAGTGTGATGATGCTGATGTGCTGGTGGCAGACAGTGAGCCTTGACCAAAAAACAAAAAAGCACAAAACTTACAGAGTACGTTCCCAATATTGGAAAAAAATAAAAGAAAATAATCCAGTTTCTTTTTAATTCTTGTCCTTCCAAAAGTGTCCAGAAAGCTTTCAGCAGAGTCACACTTCCTGGTCCTCAAAGACCTCCAGGAAAAGCGGTGGAAAGAGCTCGTTGGGACACTCGACCTTCATGTGGAGGAAGCGTCCGGCATGGCATGCTCCGATCATCCGCAGGTCCGTCACCTTCATCAGCAGCTTGGGCCAGAAGTGGGGAATGTTGTGCTTACGGTAGTTGATGTAGTGCTCAAATGCCAGCAGGTAGGCGTCCTGCCACTGCTCAATCTTCTCCACACTCATCAGCCCCGAACGGTCTGAAGGGACAAAAACAACTGAGCTCATTCTGGTGTTACAGGGTCCTGAGGAAAAGTACATTCCTAATTTATTTCTACATATTTGTAGGTAATTTATTGACTTTTCTCTTATGTTCTCTTKGAAAAGCAGATATTCTTAACCCATGGAGCGCCACCTTGAGGGCCTCAAAAGAACAACAGTTTTTAACTTTGGGCCGCAGAGGGCYGTGGGRCCGCATTGATTTTGAATAAGGTGCAATACACTTTCTCACCACTAGTAGCAGTAGTGCACCAATCAGATGTTCAACAACTTTTTTAATATGTAGAAGAAGAACCTTAGATACTTGCCAAAAATGGAAACATATTTTAAATGA